CCTTCACTTCCTTCACTCTATATTCCAGTTCAGTCCCCTTTCCCTGCTCTTGAAGCCTTCATTTCCCAGGTCGCACGTCAATACGAATTACCCGTCTTTACTTGCGCCCCGCCTTGCTTGATACCTACTCCGGACCCCTCCTCCACGTCACAAGATGACGTGTCAGACAATGAATCTGGAAATATGCGTGAGGCTTTAGAGTTATACCGCGCGCGCTTTCCTGCAGTAGAGGCTATCCTCATTGGTACGCGACGCACCGACCCACACGGAGGTCCGTGCCCTATTTCTTGTCTACCAGTCCTTCTCTTCACTTGTTGGTGAACAGCGAAACTGAATTTCCGCGAGAGGACTGATCCTGACTGGCCACCTTTTGTACGTGTACACCCAATCATTAACTGGAGCTATGCGGATGTGTGGACATTTCTTCGCCGTCTTAAAGTACCATATGCTCTCTGTATGACGAAGGGTCTGTCCGTCCTTCCTCTTTAACCTTCGCCAACCCTTTCACAACACCAGGTATACCTCTCTTGGTTCCACTTACAACACATTCCGAAACCCAGCATTGCTTGTACATGACAAAACCCAACTAGAAGAGGGCGCCCAGGCACAGTCACGTGAGCGTATCCGGAACGAATATAATCCCCCCTCATTTCAACTGACTCGATCATCACCGACTACTCTATCATATCATCGTATTATCGACTACACTGTTACAACGGCCAAAATGACCACACAACCCGTTCCCGATGGCACAGCTGCCGCTGTACCTGAACCACAGTCCCTATGCGCGCCGACGCTAACCCCGGTGTAAACGCCGCTCCCAAACCCATTTCGTCGCCACCGCAGCAAGGCGACCTTCCAGACCTCGCAAGCTTGCAAGTGATCATCGATGACCCCGTAACGGCGTGCCACGGACCTCCCATCCAACAACCATCAATGGGGGCCAAACCGGAGGGAGTTCAGGATGGGCAGGTCGAGGACGGTGCGGTATCACATGCGGAGAAGGAGGCTCGGAACGAAGATGCCAATGCCACTACAAGTACGCCACGTTACCGCCCTGCATACGAACTCGCCGATGCTTCACATGAGCGGTTGGGTAGGGGTACGCAGCCCCCTGTGTTGACGGCAAAATAGTTTGCCGTGGACGGAGAGGAGAAGATGGAAGTCAGACGTAATGTACGCAGAACGGAGCCAATTGTCGTGGCTATGATCCCGTTCGCCTCGGTGTCACAGGATCCTACGTTGTATCTAGTCCTACCGTTAGTAGTTTATTGACGCCCCCCTCCCCTCTCTGCCGGAGCATCCGTGGATTGCGTACACAGCCCGGCTCGCATGTGACCAAGGTGACTAAAGCGAGTCCCACGTCGCACCGCACTCTTGAGATCTGAGAGAAAGAGAAAGGGTCATTGTCCCATTCATTCAAGTCGGCGATAAACGGCTGCTTGTATAGACTAATTCCCGATACGGCGTTGGCCGATTCCATTCACGAGTGAGAGCGAGTTTGTGCGGCGGGCCCTTTTTTTTTTATTACCCCCATTTCTCTTCCTTTCTCTCTCATGGCACCCGCCCAAGAGGACTCACACTCTGTCATCCTGGTCACCGGTGGCTCTGGCCTCGTCGGCTACGCAATACAACGCGTCATTGACACGGAGCCGCTAGGTTCAAGGTTTGGGAAACGTCCAAACGAGACTTGGGTCTTCCTTGGTTCTAAGGATGGTGATCTCCGGTACGGTTCACGTTTCCAGCCCCATCATCGAGCAACTTGAAAACTCACACCGGATTCGGTTGAACTGTTACAGAGATCCAGAGCAGACAAAAAGAATTTTCGACAGGTACAAACCTACACATATAATCCACCTCGCCGCGCTTGGTATGCCATACCTCCTCCCCCCGCGCTGTATTTCGTAGACACCCTGTCTGATACTCGCCGGTAGTTGGCGGACTATACCGTAACATGCGATATAAGGTAGACAACCCCTGTGTTGCCATCCGATCTACTCATCACTGATTCTCTCGCTCTCGCAGCTCTCCTTCCTGCGTGACAATATGCTCATCAATGACAATGTCCTTCATTGCTCAAAGGAAGCCGGCGTGACCAAAGTGATTTCGTGTCTGTCAACTTGCGTATTCCCAGATGATGTCGAGTACCCCCTCGACGAGTCCAAGGTCCATCTTGGACCGCCTCACGAGAGCAACTACGGATATGCGTACGCAAAGAGGATGGTCGATGTTGCTAATCGGTGGGCCATATGTCAATGGTCCCCCCGTCCGTCACTAAAAAGTACAATGACAGCGCTTACCATGAGGAATTTGGGTGCAACTTTACCTCGGCGATTCCAACCAATGTGTTTGGGCCCAATGACAACTTGTATGGTATCAGTCCTTTCCACTGGCTGACAGAATGTAATGGTCCATGTTCTTCAGTGACTTGGAAGATTCGCATGTCATACCCGCCTTGATTCGCAAGTGCATACAAGCTAAACGTACGTCTCTATGGTTGCGCTCTAATCTCCGATTGACACCTCTTGGCAGAAAACAATACGCCCTTTGTTGTGTTTGGCTCTGGCAAACCACTCAGGCAGTTCATCTACTCGTATGACCTCGCCAAGTTGTTTATCTGGCAACTGCGCGAATATAACGACATTGAACCCGTCATTCTTTCTGGTGAGAAATAATTTGATTCGATGGGTACGACTAGTTATATTGAAAATGAATTTTATCAACAGTTGGGGAGGATGAGGAAGTCAGTATCAAGCAAGTTGCCGACGCAATTGTTGCGGCTGTTGGTTTCCAGGGGGAGTACAAGGTGTGCTGCCCTTGACGGAACCGATTCCGAGTTTACTGAGGGAACTATTTCTCCAGTTCGACTCCTCACGCGCGGATGGTCAATTCCGCAAGCCCGCCTCGAATAAGAAATTGCTGTCGCTTATTGGAGACAATTTCAAGTTCACACCGTTCGAGAATGCGCTACGCGAGACCGTTCAGTGGCTAGTTGCGCATTACGACACTGATGCGAGAATCGGACGTACCAACACGAGGTGAAATTTATCGTGATAGCGTACGTAAGAGAAGGAGAGACGGGGACAAGTATGATAGGGTACGTAGAAACGGGCAAGGATGGTGGTCGGGCTTGATCGTACAATGGACTGTAAAAGTTTTGATTCGTTGGAACGAAGTTCAAGTAAATGTCAATGTCAATGTCAATGTCCCGTCATTACTATAATTGGCGGCCGCAATGCGACTTCCAACCTTGGTTGGATTAGCCCAACCAAACCATTCACGGTCAGTTTTGAGCCCTTGAGGTTTGATTCGCTTTAAACACCTCGCCACACCCTCACAGCTACCCTGACTCATACCCTGACCCATCCCTTTCTTTCTTCCATCCTCTCTTTCGTGATCCATGACTTCCATCCCGGAAACTACCCCTTTTGCCTTGCGCGACTTGCCCACCCCAGAACAATGGCACAGCCGTAAAGTCGCGTTGATCTCGGGTACACTCTTCTCCATTACATTCGCTTGCAGTACTGATACCCGTGTTTATATAGGTGTCACTGGTCAGGATGGATCTTATCTGTTAGTGACTGGACATAGCTCGTGTGACTAGGTCTTAGCGATTGAGCACTCTTTATTTTTTACCAGGACGGAGCTGCTGCTCGAAAAAGGGTACGAAGTGCATGGCATCATTCGTCGCTCCTCCAGCTTCAACACCTCGCGTATCAACCATCTTTTTTACGATCAGCATGAACGTGCGTCTCCCCGGTCCATCTAAATTTTTTTTTTTTTCACTAACCCGTGAGGGGAAACAGGCAAAAACAGGTTTGAATTACACCACGGAGACTTGTCTGATAGCACCAACCTCGTCTACGTCATCGCGCAGGTCAAGCCGTCCGAGATTTACAATCTCGGTGCGCAGTCGCACGTCAAAGTCTCCTTCGAGATGGCGGAGTATACTGGCGACGTTGATGCGCTCGGTACCCTTCGTCTGCTCGACGCCGTGCGCACCTGTGGCCTCCAAAACCACGTGCGATTCTATCAGGCGTCGACCTCGGAGCTTTACGGACTCGTACAGTCTGTCCCGCAAGATGAGAACACGCCGTTCTATCCCCGCAGCCCGTATGGCGTCGCAAAGCTGTACGCGTTTTGGATCACCAAGAATTATCGCGAGGCATACAACATGTACGCGTGCAACGGCATCCTTTTTAACCACGAGAGCCCCCGTCGTGGACGCACCTTTGTGACGCGCAAGATTACCCGTGCTGTAGCGGACATTCACCTTGGCAAGCAGGCGTGCTTGTACCTCGGTAACCTTGATGCGCAACGCGACTGGGGCCACGGTAAATTTCTCGCATTGTCTAGAGCCGATATTGATCTGACTTGTATTCATTGACCACGCAGCTCGCGATTATGTGGAGGGCATGTGGCGTATGCTCCAGCAGAATGGACCGGAAGACTTTGTCCTCGCAACTGGTGAAATGCACTATGTGCGCGAGTTTGTCGAGAAGGCCTTTCGCGTAGTCGTATAGAGATAAAGTCTGTCTGTCCCACCCTTTAGTCTTTTTTTTTCGCTCACTGTCGTCGTCTCTTGTTTAGGTGGTCTGGTGAAGGTGTGGATGAAGTTGGGAAGGACCCTAAAACCGACAGAACCCTGGTCCGAGTAGATCCCAAGTACTTCCGTCCGGCCGAAGTCGAGTGAGTGATCGATCCCCTAAACTACCTTTTTTTTTTTCCGCGTCGATCTTAAAGGTGATCGTGCATAGGCAACTCCTTGGAAGGCCTGCTAAAGCCGAGAGGTTACTTGGGTGGAAGCGCCAAGTCGATTTTGACTCGCTTGTGAAGGAGATGGTGGAATCTGATCTCAATGCGAGCAGAAGCCTGGTTGAGGATCATAATTAAAATGGATACTTGCCTGTTGTGTATAGAGACTTTTTTTGACTAGGTGACTGTATAATGTAAAACGTATATCGCACGGCTAGATACGTTTACAAAAGATTTCTTGTTATGCCGTCGTGGCGCAATGGTAGCGCATCACCTTCCTACATGTATGGAATGTTATTCCCGGAGGCAGGTGGGGGTTGCGGGTTCGACCCCCGTCGACGGTACTTTATTGCCGGGTTTTTTTCCGGGCTTTACCTCCGGAAATTTAATTTGCAATCGAGCTATGTCGACCGATTCTCTCGGAGACATGAGAATCTAGCTGAGCGATGAACGTTCTCATTCACACCCCGTCATCATCCCTTCCGTTAAATAATCTTCTACGTTCCCTCCTCTCTCCTTTTTATACAGTTCAACCCATCACTTCCCTCGCTTTGGCAACACAGCCGTGGACTGCTCTTGTGCACTACTCGTTCTTCCATCTCATTCTCTCCAACCTCTCTCACTGCCCAAACCAGCCCATAATGCCATCCAGGAGTACATCGCTTCCGGTGGGCGCATGTTGGGTATCGGCCAGGGTGTTTCTCTTTTGCCACACCGTCCGGCACAGGCACAACAACAAGGTCGCCTCGATCTCTGGGATGCCAAGTCGGGCACGGCTATCGTCCCGGAAGCCCCGCGCGAGACATCCGAGTCAAAGTCGACCCATTCGTCCATACGACTCCACACGGGCGCCTTGATTTCTGGACTTTGGCCAGCCGCCGTTTCCTTTGAGTTGACCCACGCGGTTTCCAGAGTCGTCATACACGGGCACTGGGAGGAGGTACCTATTGCCAGTGTCGATGCCACCACCACGTTGCGGGTGTTGAGGTACCTGTGGGTTCCGGACGCGCAGCTTTCTGGGGTGTCTCGCTCGGCGATGAGGACGGCATTGATCAGAATCGTGATTTCGCGAGCTCGAGTGTGCTCGCTCTGCTCCGATACGCGTTGACGTCACTCGGGCTTACCGTACCTGCGACCGAGTCCTCCTCATCTTCTGGCCCGCTCAGGGAGCTACCCGCCGTTCCACGATACCCGCTTCCTCAGTTCTTGCTTCATCCACACGGGAAGGGACATATCACCGAGACCATGCTCGAAAAACTTGGCCTTTCTTTAACTACCGCCACCACCAATGCAGACTCGGCCTCGTTGGTAGTGCCGACCAGCTGGGCGTAGTAGCGGTGCTCGAGGACAAGGCGGACACGTTTCATTTTCACAAGGCCGCCTCTGTCAGTGATGGTGCGCGTCTGGTCGCGGAAGCCCGAGAGGCTACAGAAAGGTCGCAGCAGCACCACGGGTCGTCATTGTCCTGCCTCCCGATGAACTGCCTCCGAGGGAGCTCACGCCAAGATTCGATATCGAGAAGTATTTTGCTGTGCTCGCAGAGGTTCGAGGGGATAAGGGAGTGAGTGAGGCAGTGGACGGCAGCAGCTGGGGTCTAGGCGAAGCCCTGTTTTATGGCGAGGCCGTGACGAGCACGCAGACGATGCTAGACAAGTAAGGTATTCCACCCCACCCCATCTAACCCCACTAAAAAAACACTCCCTAGAATCAGCGTTTGTTGACATCACTTCCGACACCGGTCGTCTCCCTGCGACATTCCAGCTCGCAGGACGCGGGCGTGGTTCCAATACCTGGCTCTCGCCCGAGGGATGCCTTCAATTCTCCATTCTCCTCCGCCCCCCATTCAGCGCTTTCCCCGTTCCCCGCCTCGTCTTTGTGCAGTACTTGGCTTGTCTGGCTGTCATCCAAGCGTGCCGCCACAGTCGGGTATTGGGACAGTGAGGACCATGATCGTATTGGACGCGTGAAGCTCAAGTGGCCCAACGACGTTTACATCGAGTTTGTTGGGGGCGAGAAGAAAAAGATCGGTGGCACCCTCGTCAATACGAGTTTTTCGAGCGGAAACATGGACATCGTCATCGGTGCGTAGTACTACCCGGCTTCACACACACACACCGCTCACGTTGACGACAACGAAAAAGGATGTGGCATCAACGTGTGCACTCCCGCGCCCGTGACAGCGTTGTCCGCGTTATGTCCGTCTGGGCGACGGCTTGACACTGAGACGGTGCTGGCCCTGGTCCTTACCAAATTCGAACGCCTGTGGACTACGTTTGTGCGCGGACGGGGCAGTTGGGCGCCCTTTGAGGAGGACTATCTCGATGCGTGGATGCACTCGTGCGTTTTTGACCCCATGCAGGTACTCGATGGCTGATTTGTTCGATACACACATACAGAGACCAGTTGGTGACGTTGACGACGGTCAATCCACCCGTTTCCGCTCGCATCGTGGGGATTACTCATGATCACGGGCTGCTGCGCACGATTCCGGAACGAACGGGTGGAATAATAGGTGGAGGCGCGGCGCGGACGACGAGTATATCGATTTGCAGCCGGATGGAAATAGCTTTGATATCATGATGGGGCTCATCAAGGCGAAGAGATGACCATGTTCATGTTTGGTACACTTATACAATGTTTATCCCTACAGTATTAAATGATGAGTCATTGATCTTGCACCGCATTGCACTTCAAGTAAATACGACCATGGCCACCCCGGTCGACTTTCTCAACTTTATAGAGACGAACAAAGATAGGTTTATCCAGCGCCTTGCCCGCGCCGTTGAGATACCTAGGTAGTACTACTCACTTTGCCCATCCCCGATTCAGATATACACCACTGACACTGTACAAAAGTGTATCTGGGATCCTAGTCATCGCCATCATGTCGTTCGCATGGCATCTTTCTTGGAGGAGCAGTTGAGACAATACGGCGTCGAGACCCAATCCGTAGATCTCGGTACTCACTCGATGGATGGTCAAAACTTGAAGTTACCCCCAGTCATCCTGGGCCGGATCGGTAACGATCCATCCAAACGGACGATTCTCATCTACGGTCACTTTGACGTACAACCCGTGCGCCATTCTTCTTCTTCTTCATGATAATATGTGTTTTATTTTATTTTTATTGGGTCTATTATTAGGCGCAACTCTCTGACGGTTGGGACTATCCGCCCTTCGAACTGACCAGAGATGAGAAGACCGGTCGTCTTTACGGCCGTGGCTCTTCCGATGATAAGGGACCCATCTTTGGTTGGATCAACGTACTCGATGCCCACCACGCCCTCAACAAACCTCTCCCCGTCAACCTCCGCTTTTGTTTCGAGGGTATGGAAGAGTCTGGCTCGGAGGGCCTCGACCCGTTCATCCTCGCCGAGGTCAAGAAAGGCAAGGATCTTACTTTGACGGCGTAGACGCCGTCTGCATCGTGTGTTCTATCTAAACCTCTTTTTTACTCTCAACGCAATTTCTTTTCAGTCAGATAACTATTGGCTCAACACTCGCACACCCGCGCTCACATATGGACTCCGTGGCCTGTCCTATTACAAGGTTACGATCGCCGGTCCGGCGAGAGATCTTCATTCGGGCGTCTTTGGGCGTATGGTGCACGAGCCCATGACAGATCTCATCGCCCTCATGAGCAAGCTCGTCGATCCAAAAGGTAACATTCTCATACCCGGCGTCGACGACATGGTTCCTCCCCCGGACGACGAAGAAAGGCACGTCTTTCCACCCCCCAATCCTTCTTCTTTCCTTCTTAACTTTTGCTTTTAAAAACACAAAAAGGCGATTGTACCAAAAGCTCGACTACGCCGTCGAAGACGTCGAGGTCTCGGCCGGGGCCAGGGTCACCATTTCGGAGGACAAGGTGGAGGTGCTGATGGGTCGCATGCGTTCTCCCTCGCTCTCCATCCACGGCATCGAGGGCGCGTTTTACGGCGCGGGTGCCAAGACGGTCATCCCAGCCAAAGTGTCCGGAAAGTTTTCCATCCGTCTCGTCCCACCGCAGACCCCGGAAAACGTCGACCCGCTCGTGATCCAGTATTTGCACGACGAGTTTGCAAAGTTCAAGAGCAAGAACACGATCAACGTCGAGAATCTGCACGGAGGCAAACCCTGGGTCGAGGATTACAAACATTGGAGTTATGAGGCCGCGCATCGTGCGACAGTGGTAAGTGAGAACTACAAAAAAAAAGTTTATTCTGTTTACCGAATTGTTATTTTTTGGGCACCAGGCGTGTACAACCAAGAACCAGACTATATGCGTGAGGGTGGCTCGATTCCCGTAACGCTTACCTTTGCAGAGGCCCTCGGTGTGAACGTTCTATTGCTTCCTATGGGCCGCGGGGATGACGGCGCGCAGTACGTTTCTGATCGAATGAATCACGATCAAAAGTTCCATGAGCTGATCATTGACGCAGCTCGACCAACGAAAAACTAGACATATCGAACTTTATCCAGGGGGTATGTGAAGCATATTTTTCATCACTCTCTTCCAGAAATTTGATGTCTTGACACCACAGTCCAAGCTCCTTGGAAGTTACCTCTACGAGGTGGGCGCGGGCACAGAGGCCTGATGAAACCGTGGCCGTAGTAGACGGGTCAGCTCGAGTTGAAGAAAAAGCAGATGATGTTAACAATTAGTGTGCTTGTACGGAAGCTGTATTGGATCAAATTTATCGTGTCTCACTGTATCAGTCACTCCCATTTCGCATACCCGCCGCTTTGTCACTCGATTGTTCCCCCGCAATGCGACACATCCTCGCCATCGCCGCTAATTCCTTTGTCAGTGCAACACGAAGCATTGCCCAGCCCTGCCAGACAACGCGAAGAGAGCCAATAGTATCACTTGGAAGCAAAATGGCACTGCGTGGCCAATAGAGAAACAGGCTCGTCAGTTCTACCGAGTTAGCGGCCATTGCGGCACAGCTTGTCTGAGAGGTGCTGTTACATTCACCGAATGAATCAAGTGCCTTGGGTGCTGCTATCGTAATGCGAGCTGCGTCCGATTATTAGCAATTTTAAGGTACCTGTTATGGCAGCGAAGGCAAACAGAGGTTACGCGGGATGCCGGCCAAAGCCAAGTTACATACGACAGTTAGATGGCCGAACTCCTAAAGAAATACTACATAACCAATATGAACGATCCATTGCGACAAATACAGGGCATCGTAAAGGAATATTGAGCGCTATCGCCACTCTCCAAGTTGGTAAGACTCATCCAACTCTCATCAAGGAGACCAATGGCATGCAGCACAAGTTCTCGCATTTGAGCGTCAACCATTATCACTCTCTGGCCGGACAGAGCAACCCAACCCGGTTATCGAATCAGAGAGTGACATCT